TTTGACTTGCAACGCATTTATGTCAGTAACTACATAGGAAAAATTATGCTTTTATTTTTTGTTTATTAATTGTAAAACTATTCCAGGTTGTCAGGGACTGATTATTCGAACAGTTTCTCTCACAATAAATGTAATTCCAAAACCAGCGAATTCAAAGGACAGATTTTGTTGAAACATGTAGTAGATATACAGTTTATTTAAACAGTTCTTTCAACAAAAATAATTCATCTAAAAAATTCCATCTACTGCATTAAAAAAAATTAATGCATGCCACTTTTCAGAAAACAAATTTTCTAGATAAGATTTCAAGTAAAGAGTGTAAGATGATTTTAGAGTAACTGCTATTCTACTGAAACAACTGTAATGAGAATCTGGTACATTTATCGTATAGATGCCATGATAAAAATCTTAGTAGTCACGTTACAAAAAATACATTATAATGCATCGGGATGACGCTAAAGAAAAAGAAATCTTCATGTAAAGCAGGAAACCTCAACTACAAGAATTATTATTTGAATTAGAAACAGAAGAAACTAGTAAAAAAATAAAGATTTAATTCTTTGTAAAAAAGAATCATTTGAATACTGAAAAAAGACATAAATGAGCAAAATATCGACTTCATTAAGATGCAGAATCGTAATTTTCGATCTTCGGTTTCAGTCTATTGCGTATTTGAAATACACGTTCAGTAGCCTAAAAACTTCAGAGACATTTCAAAACGGTTTCTTGATGAAGAATACAGTAAAAACTCAAACTTACATAAATCAGATTTATAACTATAATTCCCCTAGAAATATTTCCCTTTACGTTTTGTCAGTATTAATATGAAACGGAATGACAAGTATGGGAAGCTTACCTCTTTAAAACACTGAAAGTTATAATCGATGAGACCTTGCTTTTCAAAATTCTCAGAACGTATTATACAAACAAGAGCAAGGAACATATTTACCTGAAATTTATTTATACAAGGGATTTCTTTTCATAGAAAGTTAGTTTTCATTTAACATTTAAAACAGTGAAAAAAGAATCGCCAAAAAAACACGATTATAAAATTTATGACTACAAACACCAAAACACTGAAGAATTGAACACAAATACACAAAATAAAGATATTTAGACCACAAAAAAGTCACTAATTTAAAAATACTTGTCGAAGAAATAGAACTTGATCTGTTCGTAAATGAATAACCGCTGATGACTGAGAATCAAATGCTGTGCTTCGCCCACCTGTACATCTACAATTACTTTTTGAAAAAACAGGCGTTATACAATGCATAACAGAAAAAAGTATACCACATTAATGTAACAAATTAAAAATTTCTATTTGAAAAAATTGGAATGGCAAACATGTGCAAACCCATATATAGAAGAAATATCGATGGTTACATCAATCATGTCGCAACAAAGCTCATATGTTGCCACATCAACCGGTGAAGAGTCAGTCGCAATGTATATTTTGCTAGCTACATCAAAAAGAAATGCCTTCTCAACATTTGAACCCTGTAATATTATAAATGAAATAATCACGTTTCTAGAAATC